GGGTAAGGTACCGTTGGAGGGAGAAGATTCTGTTGTTCGGGTTTGAGGTCAGCTTTTGTGGGTGAAGAAGATTCGAGGGAGGGGAAGGGGGCGTACATCTTCTTGCTGAGAGCTGTGATGTCGCGGCTGGTTTTGATTAGGCGCTCGCGTCGGTCGTGGTGTTCGTCTAGTTCGTTGCGGAAGGTTTCGAACATGCTTTGGACTGAGACTGGGGCTGGGGCAGCGGAGGTCATTGTTGCGGATTCGAGGGGTTGGCCGTCCCAGGTGCGTTTTGTGCCGGCCATGGGAGATGGGAGGGGTTTGAGAGGTGAAGGAGGTGGAGGAGGTGGAGGGGGAGGGGGAGAGGGAGGGAGGGGATGCAACGCGCTCGCCGTCGATGTCATTTCTGCGGTGTGGGGCACTTCTGCTTTGGGGTGATTCGGCTTATCTGATAAGATCGCTATCGCTATACTTATTTGAACGATAGGAACATTTGGATACTGAACAGAAGCTTGTGTAGGAGACAGACCACTGGGAATTGGATAGTTAACTATTTCCTTGAATTATTCTACGGGAGTAGAAGCAAAGGAGCCCCCCCATTTAGAGGCATTTGTCAAAGGCAGAGTAGGATTGATCGATTCAAGCTGAGTTGGTTCAACCAAGCCATACAATAGCATCACCACAATAATCAATTCCCGACTACCTCAAGAGTCTCTTGCACGACTTATTCAGTGATCAAGATACTTGTACTTCAGCGAGTCACCCCCCTTCAACCCCCGGACCGTGACAGTCTGATCATCACCGGGGATAATGTCCATAGCGCTGTCGCTGATCTTGACCCCATCCCGCTCTTCAAACACCAAGCATTTCACCGGCTTCTGCGCGCTGATCTTCAACGTCTGCTGCTCAGCTGTCTCAGAGATCTTCTCCACCACAAGCCCCCGTTCCGAGAAATCGAGGTACTTGAACGGCTGAGGCCAGTCCACATCCCTTGCGACAATCTGCCCGTCGACCCACAAGCGGGCAGCCAGCACGTGTGGCTCGGGATACTTCTTATAATCAATCAGACCGTCCACGATAAGATTGGTGGTGCCATTCGGCTGGATGGTGATGTTCTCGTGGACCACCTTTTCCCTAACCTCCTGACCATCGTTGATGGAGAGGAATCCGAGTTCCACCGTTCCTGTCCTTTCCTCTTGAGCAGAGCTAACAACCCAGAGCTCAAACTTACTCGTCTTCGGAGGCTGGGCATGCGTAACGCTCCAATCATGATGTTCGCGTCGGACGCCCACGGCCAACGGAGCCAATACGCGTGCCACAGCGTAGAATGCCGGCTTGGGTCGCAGGAAGTAGTCCACAATAGCCCATGAGATAGTCGGCCAGCAATCGTTGAGTTGCCAGAGCAAAGCCCCGCCGCAGTGTCTCTCATCGCCCCACTGCCGACGCCACCCTCGATACCCGAACATCATGGTCTCAGCTTGGACAACTTGCGTGAGATAGGTGTAGGTCTGGCTCATTAGCGCGGGTTACCTTGTGTGGCCGTGGGATCTCACCTCCAAGTCTGTAGCTGTCTTTAGGTTCTCCACCAGGTATGTAGCAATACGCCGCTCATGCCCGTCAGCTTTGTTGTGGAAGTCGAGGACATGCGACTGCGGGTACTTGTCTTTCTCGTGCTCGACGAAGTGGTTGATGGTCGATAGGTGAGGGAATGCCTCCATGCCGAACTCACTGTTGAACCGTCCGCCGAGGGTATCGAAGATCTGGTATTTCTCTTGCGTTCCATGCCAGACTGTAGTTGGTCAGCAATTGATGCTACATGCGCGGGAAACGGGTATTACCATTCCACTGATGCATGTCTCCTACTGTCGGATCGGACGTTTTCTTCCCATCTCCCCATGGGCTTCCGGGATGATAGAATGTCCGTGGAGAGTGTTTATCCATCACCTCTGGAAGCAGTTTCTCGTATATGTACCGAGCTGGAAAGTCCGTCTTCAGCCAATTCTCCGGGTTCTTGTCCTCGAAGTCATAGGTCAGACCTGCCGACTCTTGTACTTGGTAGTCCTCGTTATTTCCAGCATAAAGCACAATAGACGGATGATGTCGCAGCCGGCGCACATTATAGGCGGCTTCTTTTTCGATCGACTCAAGCAGCTCGGGCCAGGTCGGGTAGTTGCCACAGCCGAACATGAAGTCCTGCCATACAAGCACACCAAGTTCGTCGCATGCTTCGTAGAAATTGTTGTCTTCGTAGATACCGCCGCCCCAAACCCTGTTGCTGTAAGCAAAACTGAAATGTATCCGCATGGGCCAACCTACCGAATCATAACTTGGCGACCAGCGACCATAAGTTCAATCCAGCTCCGATAGCGCTCACGGGTAATGCTAGGCAAGAGGTTGTCCGCCGGGATCCAGCACGAGCCACCACAAAAGACGTCGGCTCCGTTGATTCGGAAGAAGAACGACTTGCCGTGTTTGTCTGGCCGCTGAACGACCTCTGCCGTTCTTATGCCAATCTTCTTCGAGACATGGTGCAGTTCAATTTGATCCTTCTCCAAGAACACAGAGACCTCGTACAGATTTGGGTCTCCGTAACCATTTGGCCACCAGAGGCTTGGTTGATCGATTTCGAATGTCACTTTGGCGACCTTGTTGTCGGGCGTGAGGACCTGCCGAGCAATCTCCTTACCATCTTTACTCAAGGTGAAGATGGCTCGGAAGGAAGAGTTCTCTGTGGCATCAACCTCGGCGTAGGCATCAATCTGCACATGCTGATGATCCGCAGCAAGATCTACGTCCGTCCAGAGGTCCGCTATTCTTGCCGAGTATACTTCCAGCCGAACGTCTCGCCAGATGCCCGCAGTCATCAGCACTGGGCCCCAGTCCCAGCCCCAGTGATACTGAGCTTTACGAACGGCTAGTCGGGCCGGATCGCCGTTGAAGGAAGCCCAGTTGTGCTTGGGGTCCTGGTCTCGGAGCTCCTTGGCTCGCAGCATGGCACAATCAAAGTCGATGAGAAGCACATGATCACCCTCGGCCTCCAGGGCTTCGGTGACGTCGACTCGATGAGCGAGGAACATGTTGTTGCTCTCGAGAATGATCTTATCGTCCAGTCTCACCGTAGCAAAAGTGTCCAAGCCGTCGAACGCCAGAACGACCCTGGATCCAGCCGGGACGGTCGGCTTCTGGAATACATTTCTGTAAGACCATGACTTCTCATTGACCCATCTTGCCTCGAGCTCATTGAAGCCAATGTAAGGATCTTGCAATCTATGTGCTCCGCGTTAATACCATGCCAAGAGTCCAGGGGCCGATGGTGGCACACCTTCCATTTGCCTGTAGGTCCTGATGAACGACAGACGGCACGCTGGAAACAGACATCCAAGCATCAGATGCCTGTTCGTCGCTATCTTTGAAGGACCATCCGGTGGTCAGAGGATGCTGAATGAAACTCGCCATAGCGGAAGCCAAGGAGGGGTGATGACGAGTCAATGGCAACAATGCGTGAAAGCTCAACGAGTGGGAATGGCTCTGTGAATGCTTTTTGGCAACGAAGGGGAGATTCACACTCTTTGTATCTTGAATCTGATATCTGATGGTTTCAGATGCCATGAGGGAAGTATAGAGCAAGGGGAGAGCTCCACGGAGATATCTCCGCATTCCACGTGCTGTCATTGCCAAATCGGGCAATCGACGGGCGGCTTCTCCTCCTTTCCCAAAACTGTCTTCCTCTTCCACTGAGTGCTGCCAGTGAGTCCCCAACTCCTACACTTTCGCACTCAACATCCGGACTGTCTCACCATCACCCGTCAGTCTTTGAGTTTCAACACGGCTCATCGTCAAAATGTCTCAAATGAGCCAAGCAATGGGACCAGTGATCAGACAAAGAATATCCTGAGCGCTGTCCGAGTCAGTGCAGAGACACGACCGACAAGAAATCCCTCCCGTCTTGGGAGGCATATAAAGTGACTATTCTCTGTATCTCGAACCACGCTCCCCTCACTGAAACCAATCCTCGACATTTCTCCCCCTACTTTACTGCTTTAGGTGCGGATGATGCTCCACGCAGCTATGGTTGGTCTCCCGTCTGATCAAATCCTTCCTTGTGCTTGGAGATTCTTGTTCCTGACAGCCCTGAAGATCACTAGTTAAACTGAACGTAAATCCTCTGATCGGTGCTGAATCACTCTCGACCACCTTGATCCTGGATTCGAAGCGAACTTGTACCCCCACCCCATTGCCAAATAAGCGATTCTCTCTGCCAGAATCTTATTGGTCGGTGCGCCAGTCACTAGTCCGACCATTGTCGCTTAGCGAAACGAACGACATTTCCAGCAGCTAATTGCAGGACGATGGGGTGTTAACACTCTCAACACTCAACAGCCGGGGCAAGTGCCTCGGTTCTCACTGTGCTTCCGCCCTTCCCGCCTCCCGTTGCTTCCACAGTCATGCCGGGGTACCTTACAGGAAATGGAGACAGGTTCCTCCCTGGAGCGCTAACCATTCGATGCGGCATGTGATGAGTGAGCAATTTCGCGCTCTTGGCGTTCATCGCAATTAGCCTGATCACTTTTGCCTAACCAATGCGGGCCACTCTGCGTCGAGTCTATTTTGCGATTGGCTGTCGTCCTCGAGTACCCCAGAATCCGTGTCAAATCACACGCACCTCTGTCCAGAAGCGTCCTAAGTGGTGTGAAGCCGCTTATTCTATCAACCGGCATCAAACTCGCTTGGAACAACCAGATGTGCCAGGAATTGTTCTGAACTGGGACCAAAGTCTATCACAGCTGTTGCCACTCATGAATTCAAAGCTCTAAGATGGAGCCGGGAGCCCACGGACCAGTTGACTTACGGGATTGGACATGGGTGACGGACTCTAAGCGGCGGTGCGCCAACAGACTCCGACCCCGTCATGGGGTTTAATTAAAATAGGGTGTCCAAGCCGGTCATCCTATGCGGGGTCAGAGCTGCAATTGGCGGGGACAGATTTCCCAAAGAGTCAGACCCTGCGAAGGTGCTGGAATGAGAAATTTCTTGAACCCTGCTATTATCGCCTGCGCCGTCGCGACCGCAAAAGCCCCGTCAGATTCTGACAATGGACTCAGGAGCAGTAAGCTCGAGCAGCACGGATGAACGGAGGCTGTTAAATCGGGTATACACCGACCACTTCCGATGGAAATTGCAGTCAGACGCAGTTGGTCTTTCTGCCTATTTGTGGTTGTTGCTCGGACATCGAGTGGCGCCACCCCTGTTGGTTTAATATATTGATGTGCTCCGGTCTTCATCAGCCTGCAGAACTGTAACGGGGTTGGCTGCCCGCTAGGCGAGTAATGATTGTTTGTCCGGCTCGGGGTTAAGTACCGTGGAAGGACAGTCAGCCCTGACGTGGGTAGATGCGGGTGCCCCCAAGAACGTGGGCGAATTCGTGCGTCGAACGCTTACTGTGGTAGAGCGCCCGCGATGTTTGCGCACACAGGGCTGTTCCTCAGGTGACCTGGAGAAGGACCCCAGCAACCCACCGTCGAGTTGATGTGTTTCCTTTCGGAACTGGAAGGACTTCTCACGCAAGGAATTCGGGGGCTCATCCATCCCCCCCTGATAGGTGGAAGCACATGGCTCAACTTCGAGCAGAGTGCATCGTAGAGAGGGGAAAGCGCTAACAGGAGACAGATCCAAGGCACCGTGAAGAACAGACCCTTTGGGGCGAGAGTTGGCGAGCCTGTAGTGGAATTGAATACATATTGTTCGTATGTAACCCTGACAGCCGAGCCTTTGATATAGGGTCAAGCATGGCCGGTGGACGAAGGGTCCGGGGTTTATGACTAGAGTGGCCAGTAAGAACCCACGATGCATGGGATGCCGATTCTTCCCCAGACATGCAGAAGCCTGCCAGAAACGGCCACTTCCTGCATGATGGATTTAATCAAAGTGGAAAATTGCGGGGGCGTCGCCAGAGCCGGACCAGTGAAGAAAAGAAATCCCGAAGGACGATCGCTTTTCAGGGACTGTGTTGGGCAGGCACCGTGGTGGAGGGAGGGCGTTGTCGGTTCTTGGAGGAGGAGGAGAAGAAGAAGAAGGAGGTGGTGGAAAATGTCGCTTGATGCTTTCTCTCTCTACCCGGGGGGGGGGGGAGGGAGGGGGCTGATGATCGCTGTTCTCCGGCTGCTAAAATATACGCCTCGTGGTCCGACTCACCTTGCCCTTGAAGATATATTGCAACACGTTTTTCTTTCACTGTCGATTTTCCCCGCCGACCTTTTTCAATCCAAGACAGTGGCGACTGCAAGTGAACTAGGCTATTTCCATGCAGTAATTCACTGGGGCCTTCCCCATCGATCTGATTCCACACCCTCCTACTGCCATCCATCACTAGCAGCAACCAGGCTATCCCTGCCATCTGTTGCATCGAACTTACTAGTCCTCCTGCGACCGGTTGCCAATGGCTGTTTCTAGCTGACCACGCTACCATAGAATGTCTTGATCGTACTATCGTACTATCAGTCTATCTGTCTATCAGGTCTTCCACCAAGAATCTCTACTCTTATCGTCGCGAGCCATGTTCCACACGTTTGAAGGCTTCGAGAACCCCGGACTGTCGAATCCGACCCGGGGGCGCAACCAGCGTCAACCCTCCGTTGGCCGTCGAGTCACCACCCTTCGGGCTTGCACTTCTTGCCGGCATCGCAAGATCAAATGTGATGGCGAAAAACCATGCGAAGCATGCAGGTGGTACAAGAAGGCCGATCAGTGCCAGTATTCCGATCCTCGTCCGTCGCGCAGGTGTGTTTGACTTTCTTGTCTGGAAGACCACAGAACACAGAATAACCAGCAGTTGCGGAGGCAGACACGTGGAGAAACTGTCGACTACATTGGACGAGTTCCGCGGGGTGCTCGAGAAGCTGTTCCCCGGATTCCCAGCCGAGACTCTGGTGAACTTGCCACGCGAGAAACTGTTAGACTTGGTTGGCAAGGGTCCATCGCATGTGCAGACGCAGCCGCCACATCCAGCCTCCCCGGCCACTTCTGCATCGGCCGAGGCCCACACATCCCCGGCTTCCAGTGAGGATGGCAACCTCGAGTCCCTCCAGACCATCCCCGACCACACCAGCCCTCTACGCCCGCTGAGAATCCCAGCGTTTCCGAGTGGCATCTCGGATGATGTCAATGCATTGTCCCTGTCGGCTCAGCAGCCATCCTCATACTTAGGTGTGTCTTCAATACATGCGGTGCTCAAGGTCATCGTATGGTTGGACCCTGGATCCCTCACCCACCTTTCACGCACTCCAGCACCTGGTGGTCGGAGAGGATCCATTGACCTCTCTTCTTCTCCAGGCAGCCAGCACTGGCAGGTCCATGGGTTCCAGCCGCGCCTCGCGACGCCGGAATCTCGACGAGCGTCGGAATCCCAATTGCTGGACGCATACTTTACTTACGTTCAACCCTTTGTGCCATTGTTAGATGAACCAGCCTTTCGCGAAACCTACCACAGTGGGAGGCGGAGCGATGAACAGTGGCTGGCTTTGCTGAATATTGTCCTTGCCCTGGGCAGCATAGCAGCCTGTCCGGCGCACGACACGTCGCATCAGACTTACTTTCTGAAGTGTAAGGAGCTCGTCAATCTGGAGTGTCTGGGCTCTTCGCAGTTGGAGACCATCCAGACCCTGGGTCTCATGGGGGGTTATTATCTGCATTATACGAGCCAGCCCAACCTAGCATATGCGATCATGGGGGCCGCCTTGCGGATGGCAGCGGCACTGGGCCTCCACAAAGAGCTCTCCGACAGCCAAACCGGGGGGAGCCGACAAAGACAATCGTCCACCGACCAGAAGCGCCGCGTGTGGTGGTCGTTGTTTTGTCTGGATACGTGGGGGGGGATGACCCTCGGGCGACCCAGCATGGGCCGTCTGGGACCGACCATCACTGTCAAGCTGCCACATTATCGCGAAAAGGTACGGTTTGTGCTATTCCAAGAAATGCAGGATAAGGAACTGACAGTTGCAAGGGAAATGTACTGGATATTCTACCCCTCCTGGAGAACGTGCGCTTCTGCAAGATCGCAACTCAGATCCAAGAAGTGCTGGCGGCGTCCCCGCTGACCAAGTTCCATGAGATGACGCAGCTGGACAGCCAGCTGCTGGAATGGTACGAGAACCTTCCCTATATTCTCAAAGACCACGAGCCGTGCTCCGAATCCATCGCGTTCACGCGGACGGTGATGAAGTGGCGGTACTACAACCAGCGCATGCTCCTGTACCGGCCGACCCTCCTCAGCTATGCGATGCGGCGGGTTCCGTACATTGTGCTCCGCTCCGAAGAGCGCCTGGCGATCGAGAGATGTCGCGAGATCGCCGAGATGACGATCCAGGACATCGCGACCAAGGCGCAGGACCACCAGATGTCCGGGTGGAACGCGGTCTGGCTGATCTTCCAGGCGGCCATGGTTCCGCTGCTGGGCCTGTTCTTGAACGACGGCACGGTGGACGACCCCCGCGCAACCGTGGAGGCCTGCCAGGCGCAGGTGGAGACGACCATGCTCGTGCTGGCGCGGCTGCAGTCGTGGAGCCCCACGGCGAAGTCGACGTTGGACGCGGTGTCGCGCCTGTTCGAGGCCAGCAAGCGCAACTCGGCCTTGCTCAGTGCCACCAGCAGCATCGACAGCGGCAGCTGTTCGAACCTCTGCGACGGAGGGGGGATGCCCGGGACGGCGGCGGCCGGCGGGGGACTGCTACCGCCGGGGGTCCTGGTGAGTCTGGAGAACGGGTTTTTGGACCCGTTCGACCCGCCGTTCATCGACGACTCGGCCGGGCAATATTTATGGGATTTTCTGAGCTGGAGCGACAGCAGCCTGCTGCAGGGGTTTGCGGAGATCGACAATGGGGGTGGTGGTTCTGGACTTTTTGCTGGCCCTGGCCCCGGCCCCGAGGAGAGACATGTGAAGTACGGTGGAGACGCGATTCTGCTGGGCGGACAGCTGAACGACTCGACCTTCTTTGTGAATCCGGCTGCCCCATTCTACTAGGCTGGTCGTTCTCTCGTCTTGTGATGTTACATACCCTGTTTTTTGGTTGCATGTGGTCTAGTCTGGTTTGCTACGTTTCGTTGGGCTATTGAGCGCTATCGGGTAAATGTATAGGTGTATGCATGATGAAAATGATATGAACGATACGAATGACACTTCAAGATCGACCAGGAGGTGAATGTAGAGGAAGGCGGAGGTCGGGAATTCGGCCCTGTACACCAGAGTCGACGGGGAGGGAGGGAGGTCTAGGGTCAGAGCGAAAGCCACGCAGAAGGGAAATGCTTGATTGTGTGCAGAACAGTGCATTAGGCTGAAGGCTGAAAGGCAACTGGCGGGAGTCGGGCCGAGACCCGCCGGTGGGCAAACGCGGGTTGATTTGATTTGTTTGTTTGAGGGCCGCCATCCTCCATCATCACTTTTTGGGCACGGAATTGACAACTCCACGTTACGTACTACGGGTAGAGTCCATGTCATGCAGTAGGGGGATTGAGCTGAGTTCCCAAGAAGAATTGTACGGAATACCGTTTTGTATACACCCAAAGCGCTGCACTGCCTGCAAGTGTGCAGCCAGCCAACCACAACAGGAACAAAACCACCTGTTCTCCAAGCTCCCCCTAACCAGGCCTGGCCAAGAAAGAACATCCAGCTTCACCACTACACACTACATGTCCACATGATACCACACCCACAATGTCCACCTCAATAACCCCCTCCCCTTTTCATTCCCATTCCCCTTCCCCTCCCAAACCCTCCCCCTCTACCCCTCCCCCAAGCAAAAGCAAGAATACACTCTTCACCCCCCGCAAGATCTACCCCCTCGCCCTCCTCCTCCGCCTGACACTGCTGCTATACGGCACCTACCAGGACGCCCACTCCGCCCTCAAATACACCGACATCGACTACCTAGTCTTCACCGACGCGGCGCGCTTCACCGCCGGTGGCGGCAGCCCCTACGACAGAGCCACCTACCGGTACACCCCGCTCCTGGCATGGGTACTCATCCCCACAACCTGGGAGGGGTGGTTCTCCTTCGGGAAGGTAATGTTCGCGGTAGCGGACGTGGTAGCGGGGTGGTTACTGGCGCGGACGCTGGTCGTGCACCAGGGGATGGCACCCTCGCGGGCGCTGCGGTACGCCAGCGTGTGGTTGCTGAATCCCATGGTGGCCAATATCAGCACCCGGGGCAGTTCGGAGGGGGTGTTGGGGTTGATCACTGCGGGGGTTGTGTATTTGGTTCTGGGGTGTGCGCCCTCCAGTGATGGCCGTGGGGGGAGAGGGGGTGGGAGAGGGAGGATGGGCCGAGTGATAGCCGCCGGGATCGTGTTGGGGGTAGGCGTGCACGTCAAGATCTATCCGTTTGTGTATGGGGTTTCTGTTCTGCTGTTTCTGGACAACCAACAGCAGCAGCAGCAGAAGAGAGGACTACTATACCGACTCATGGAGGAAATCACCCCATCCCGCCTCACCTTCACAGCCTCCGCCCTCCTCACGTTTCTGTCCCTCAACGCCCTCATGTACCACCACTACGGCGGGGAATTCCTGCAGCACACGTTCCTGCATCATCTCACCCGCGTCGACCACCGCCATAATTTCTCGGTCTATGCTTCTTTGCTGTATGATTCTGCTGCTGCTGCTGCTGCTGCTGCTGCTACCGCCGCCGCCGCCCCCGGCGGTGCCGCCGGAGCTGCAGCCGCAGGGAAAGTCAGCATCGAAAGCTGGGCCTTCCTCCCGCAACTCCTCCTCTCCGTCCTCGTGATCCCGTTCGCGCTCGCCAAACGGTCCCTCCCCGGGGCTATGCTGGCGCAGACGTTCGCCTTCGTGGCGTTTAACAAAGTCTGTACGAGTCAGGTTTGTTGCCCTTTGTCCCCGTCTCTCTCTTTTCTTTTGTTTGGGGCTGGCGCGGGTTTCGGTTGTGCTTCACGGTCCAGCTGGGTTTCCATAGTCCGGTTGTGCTGTGCGTGCTGTGCGTGCTGTGCGTGCTGTGCGTGCTGTATCGTACTGAGTTGCACTGTGCCTGCTGCGCTAATCCCACCGAAACAACTAACTAACTGATGTGGAAATGGGCAGTACTTCCTCTGGTATCTGATCTTCCTGCCGCTGTATCTGCCGTACTCGTCTTTCTTACGAAAGCCGCGGCTCGGGGTGGGTGCGTTGGGCGCGTGGGTGGTTGCGCAGGTGTGTATTTCCCCCTACCATCTCTTTCTTTCTTCCTCCCCGGTCCCCCCTCCCCTCTTCCCCCCCGGATGTGTGGGTTGGGTAAAGGAGGCGGGTGCTTGAGTATCGGTCTTGATACGGGCTGGAAACAGTTGCAGTTGTGCTAATCATACCAGCAGGCCCTCTGGCTGCAACAAGGGTATAACCTCGAGTTCCTGGGCTTGTCAACGTTCGTGCCGGGGTTGTTTGTGGCGTCGCTGGGGTTCTTCGCGGTCAATGTGTGGATTCTCGGGGTGATTGTGCAGGATGTTGGGGGGTTGCAGGCTGGGGGTGGTGGATTTTAGATACTGAGCTACGCTAAGGAGTATGTATAGGGCGGAGTCCAGGGTCAGATCAGTTGAGTCGGATGGCAGACACAAGTCAGCTTCAGCTAAATGTAACATTATACTATCTTAAGCAAATCAGCAATTGCTACAAACTCTCTCATCATGAAGGCATGAACACACTCCCAAACTACGGCTTCGACACATCGGCAATCACCTTGTACGTCGACGCATGGATGCTCAACGGCCGCGTGCGCGGATACACGGCCCCCACGATCTGCCGATTGTGCCCGTACTGCGGATAGATCCCATCCGACAGCTCCACGTAGTGCGCCTCGGGCCGCGCCTCGTGCAGCGCCTCCAGGATCCGCTCGCTCCACAGGCCCGTACACTCGCCGTCCACCAGCTGGAAGTACGGGTTCAGCGGCGGACACGCCGAGTCCAGGTCGATGAAGCGGATGCGCATGTAGTCCAGCCGCGCGTGGAGCTGCAGGCTGTGCACCGCCCCCAACACCAGCTTCTCGAACGACCGGATGAAGTTGAGGTTCGTGATCCCCGAGAAATCGTCCAGGAACGCCAGCCCCGGGTGCACGTTCTTCTTCTCTCGGCAGCAGGTCTTGACCACCAGGTCTAGCGACTTCAGCCGCGACTTTGCCGGCCACGAGGCCATGAACCCGCGCGTCGCCTGGAAGAGGCCCGCGCACACCTTGCCCGTGAACGCCAGGGACTCCAGCCGCGGCGCCGCTTCGCCCAGCAGCCGGCAGAGGTGCGGCGGCGTGATTCCGTCGGGCGTCCACCCGGTCTGCGAGGTGTCCTTATTATAAAACCCCTCCAGGCTGATGTTGACATGCACCAGCGACGGCGAGAGCCGCGCCAGCACCTCCGCGATGGTCTCGTAGCCCTCGATCTTGGGCTTGGCGTAGGCACAGTGCCACTCGCGCACGCCCGGCAGCGCCTGGGACATGTTGGCCCAGTGCTGGTAGTCGCGCATGATGTTCCACGCCCCCCGCATGACGAAGGTCTGGATGTCCGGCAGCACGGGAAGGCGCCGCAGCCCCGAGTGCCCGCACGGATCGTCCCGGAAATGGCGCACCATCGGCGGCCGCTTGCAATGGCCCCCCTCGAGGGTCAGGATGCGCGCCTGCGGGAAGCAGGTCTGCACGTGGTCGAACATCTCTTCCAGGGTGGCATTGTGGCTGGCATAGTGGTATCGATAGTCACTGCCGTGGTTGGTGTCCGAATCGTCCCAGACCATCGCATTCTGCAGGGCGGCCGGGTCGGCACACCCCACGTCTTCGTTGTTGAACCGCCGCGTCGGAAGCTGCTGCGTAAACTGCTTGGTCGCGCGTTTCCCCCAGACCGGGATCCATATCTCGACATGGCGGACAAATGGGGCGAGACGGGGGTGCGCCCGGAACCAGCGTGCGCTTGCCGCCAACTCATCTGCGGTGCCCTTGATTTTGACTGTAACCCGATCAGAACGAATCAAAGAGCCTGCGAATGAAAGAACAGAAACTGACTATGTCGGTAGATCCGATCCTGCACCAATTCTCTCCACACCCGGGTTATCAGCGATAGATTGGATAGCGCCTTTCGACGGGGATGACGCAACGACCGGTTCCAACTGCGCGCGGACTTGCCCCAGGTGCAAGAGGTGAAGGCGGATGCTCGTTCCCCAAACAGGTAATCCAGAATCGCCTCGTGGATCTCGATGGGCAGATCTTCGAACCGGATCGCGGAATGGCTGGACTGTGGTGGTGTCCCGACGCTTATCGGGGGCTGGCTATCAGTGTCCTCCATCTCGGTATCCACCGGGCTCTGGTGACAAACGACGAGCCCCACCGCGGCGGAGGGAACGGGTCCCTCGGGAAACTGGATCTCCGCGCTGGTACACCGGTTCGATTTGGCATATGGAAGGGTGGTCGCGACCGACGCTTTGGCCAGCGAGTTGACGGACACGGGACGAGGGGGAGGGAGCGTCGAGATCATGACGGGCGGAGGGAGTGATTGTGCGAAAATTTAGAAAAAAGAGGGAAACAAGAAAATAGTAAAAAAGGAAAGCAGCATGAAACACCCGGAGAACGCCAAGCAGGGGAGAGAGAAATCAGCAGTCGTGAAATCGTTAGGCTAGTCGAAGCCGGTGACAGGAAAGAGTCGATTCTAGTCTTTCGACAGTTTTGTGTTTCCAGATCAGAGAATGAAAGATGAGGGGAGAGACCGAGTTGTGTTTCTTTCCTTTTCCTTCACAAAGTCTTGAGTGATCAGGTGGGCGCTGCGGGATTCGTCAGACCAAGGCAAAGTCGGATCTTCGTGTGCGACAGAAAGAGGGATAAAAATAGCGGGAGCAGATGATGGCTTTTCCTTTCAGATCGGAGGGGAAAAACGAAGGCTGTTAAATTGAAGTTGAGGTTGATCGGCCAACGTGGTCCATGGCGGTGTTGATGCAGCAAGCAGTGTTGTTCAGTCGATAACCGGCGGTTAGGCCGTCAGGCAGCTGGTGCAAGTAAGTAGTAGGTTATCTAGATGGTAATCAAGATGGATGGTATCAGAGAGGTAAACGAGGTAAACGAGGTCAAAGAAAACGAGCGCAACCAGGCGAGTGGGTATAGAAGGAGATAGAGAGGGTGGAATTGGCTAGGGGGTATCGAGTGAAGAAAAAGGGAAAACAGAAGACAGACGAGAGGAAAAAGAAAAGAGGGGGAAGAGGGAATAACTTTAAAAAAAAAAGCAAGAAGGAAAACAGAGACGGGGAGAGGCAGCAGGAGGGGATGGGGAAAATTGGATGGGGAGATTTCCTAGGATGGATGGGCAAGTTGAAACCACCCCGAAACTGGCTGGATCTAGCCATTTACTATCATCATCAACATCAACATCAACATCATGATCAACAATAACAATACAAGCACCTCAATCTCACACCACTCCGTTCTCTCTCCTGCTCCTGCTCCTGCTCCTGCTCCTGGAGCTGGATTAGTGGCTCATTAGCATGACCTGGTTTATTATTCTCGACTGTTATGATGAAATTGTTTACATCATCATCCTCCTCAGGATCTCGTCCATCGGCCTGTCTGTTTCAAGTAAATCGATCAGCCCGTCCACCATGAATGAAACCAAATGATGCTATATCGGGATACCCCATATCATCTGCAGACACCCATATCATTCGCTTTGGGATAGATAAAGATTGCAATGAAGATTGCAGGCGGTGCCAGCACAAAGCTCCTACACCGACCGATTCTCTCTCTTCCTACAATGGAAGTGATCGATCACCTGAGATCTTCAATCACCGCACATCCAACACCAACACATCCACTTGCTTCACTTGTGCCCAACACTGCACAGGACTTGCCAAGTTGTGGTGGACAGGATCGATAAGAAGGACCCAAAGTCCCAGTTGGCTTTTCCCCGCAGGGTGGATCTTCTTTGCACTTTTCCCTTTCCTTTCCTCCCACCCCCACATCTGGCCGCATCTTTAATTTCACACTTCACTTACACTAAACAATTTGAGTACTAGTCCACTACTTAAGAAATATTCATATTTTGAGTACCAGCGCTAACCCATGCTCAAAAAGCACAAAACGGACACCTGCAAAAGAAGACCTGCAAAGCATGATGGAAGCTATATACACGAAGAATTGAACCACATCCCTCAGCATCATCTCCGGCGGCGGAATCGAAATCGAAGTTCATCGTCGCTGTCGGATTCCTCACGCTCCTCTCGCGTTCGTTTCTGCGTACGAGGCGCAGCCACCTCCGAGTCTGTGCGCGCTAGGGACTGTGAGCGAGACGCCACCGTACCGCTCAGGGTCATCGTTGGCTCTGGAGGGCTCTCTGCTACAACGGCCTCGGTCGATTGATGACTGTTGCTCACCCAGTAATGATCGCCTACCCCGAATTCTTTGCGGGTGACCTCTTCCAAAGGAACTATGACGGTCTGGATGCGGTAGCGCGGCTGGCTAGGATCTCCCTTCCGTCGGAACTTTTTGAAGTTTTTGCGGCCGTTCCACCGATCGTTCCAGCGGCTATCCTCTGCATCCACATTGCGCGGCTTGACGTCCATCTCCTCCACAATAGCGAGTCCTTTGAGCTTCTCAATATCCACCTCTTGCAAGGAGTCCTGGAGAGATGCCTCTTCCGCGACCCGGCGCTGACGCTGGGCATCTTCTTCGGCTTCCCGATGCTGTCGGGCGGCCTCGAGCACATCTAGTTTCTGGCGCTTAGGTTTGCGAGGGGATTCCTCCTTGGGTTGGGACGCTTCATCGTCTACAGATTGTCGAATGGTCTCAGCACGTCGACGTTTCATCGCCGCCGCACCTGGCAGTAGACCAGAGACGATATCTTCCTCGTCGTTCAAGCTGTTCTGCTGCTGCGACTCCTGGACAGACGCAGGTTCGATTTCCATCGGAGGAGGAGACATCGCTGAGCGTTCCTCTGGCGCATGGACTGGAATGGAGTTGATGTCGAAGCCATCATCAAATGTCTTCATCTTACTCACATACCCCCGCACACGAGGCCGGGACTTTCGTGCGGGTGGCTGACTTGCTTCCTCCGATGGCTGTGAGTCCGCGACAGGAACTGTCTCGCTGGACGCGGTGCCGGGTGGAGGCTGCGGAGAAGGCTCTGCGTTTGCCTCGTCGCTAGCATCAACCTCCTCAAGTAGAGGCTGACAGAGCGGAGCCGCATTGTTACCCAGAATGGCGTCCAGAAATTCACTCTGCTCAACCACCCGCTGCTCGGTCAGGAGTGCAATCTGTTTACTGAGCTCCAGGGACCACTCCTCATGGCGACCCTTGGCACGGTACCGGACATGCACCACACCGCCAGGGCTATCTCGCTGACTTCCCAACCCTTTATTCCCCGCAGCGTTCCCCATGAACTGCGCAAATTCCTCAGCTGTAGTCACTCCGTCCTCGATCTGATATAGTAAGACCTTCCCCTGGCCGTTGGTCAGGGCATCTTCCAGATTCTCCATCTGTGTGGCATCGCCGAAAACGAAGGTGAACCCCTCGAAGATGCTCAAGCGGGCGGGGTTGGGCGCAAAGGCCTCTTTGGGCCGTTGTGTCGTTTCCTTTCCTGGGGGAGGAAGATGCTCGGCTGGGTCCGGCCATGCCGAGTCGAAGTCAGCCTCGAGAGGGCACAAGGACTCGGGGCTGTCCAAGTCACTTGGAGTCGCAGCGTAGACCAGGGCATCCACGTAAGTATCCTGAACAATGTGCTTAGCATTGACCAATGCTTGCAAGCCCTTCGCTGTATTCCGTTTGCTCTGAACCACGTGCGTCGTCTTGTCGACTACGTAGGGTATGATCGTCTTGATATCGAGGTCTTCGAGTCGGGAGCGCACTCGTGCGAGAGGGTCTCTGGCTTTGAGCTCTTTGCTCGAGAAGGAAAAGCTCAGCACCGTGGGACACCATTTGATCCTATGTCAAAGGAAAGATGTTTAGCTGGATTCAGCGACAGGGGTAGAGCGCTTGTTCTCACCGCAGCATATGCTCATAGCGCCCCAGTTGCAGCTCGTGGTGCTGGCCCTCCAACTTCGTATTCCCACTTATCTTTTCACCATTAACCTTGGTACCCAACTTCGATCCCAAATCGGTAACAGTTATCTCTGACTTAGTGTGGAGATGTGCCTACCCCAGTGAGGTTAGCGGGGAAGTTGCCCAGCATCGAACCGAATACTTACCCCATCGCCCGGCTTGACAGGGGAGACTTCGATCAAGAGATGCTTCCGCGAGATGGTCTTATTCGCAATGGCATGTCTCACTATAATCCATTGATTGGCATGATCAGCATTCTATCCTCGACCTTCTGACAATGGAAACTATAATTACCTCCATCTTCTCTAGCCCGACCGAACAGATACTTCTTCCCCGGGCGCAACCATACGCGCTTCCCTATTTCGCCAAACAGTTAGCCTGCATTTTGCCCAAGTGAGGTAAACAAGACATACCCTCGAGGAAATCCCCTTCAGACTCGAGGATCCACATGGGCAGACGAATGGAACCAGCTGCTTGCACGCCAGAACAAGGCTAAGTGACCGGCTGAAAGAATGACGGCGGCAGCATTGCACGTGAAAGCCTTCCGCGGGGAAACCCGCCGGACTCCAAAAACACACCAACGCGTGATCACGTGCGCAGGCGTTGGCGGTGGCAGCTTTACCCACTTTGGGTAATAATTGCTTCGCGGGTGCCGGCGGAAAACGTCATCACCACCTTTTCCTTCAGACAAGAAAATGGAGCCTCCGGGCGAGGAGCGTCCCGACAACAACAACAACAACAACAACAACAAGGTTGCAGAGGATGGATTCGAAACCCTCAAATATCAACTTCTTGGACCCTCCTTGACCAAAGCCGGTCAGGATGCCGTGGATCAGCGGAAGGTGAGCATTTTCCGAGTTACTCGCTTTCTGCCTTCTTCATACTGAGCGATTCCGACCCAGGTGTCCGAAATCATCTACAACGCCTCCAAGGGCTCCAAATTCTTCAACCACGAGCAGAACCGCGACAAGGTCCTGACGGACAAGATCGCGCGGATTCTCCGCGACAAGGCCCACCTCGAGACGCTCGATCTCTCGGCGGACCTCCGGCGCGCGGACCAGCTGATCGCGGAGCTGGAGCTGACGCGGGATTTGAGTCAGCACGTCGTGCACGTCGACTGCGACGCCTTCTTCGCAGCGGTCGAGGAGCTGGACCACCCAGAGCTGAAGACCGTGCCCATGGCCGTCGGCAAGGGCGTCCTGACGACCTGCAACTACGAGGCGCGCAAGTTCGGCGTCCGCAGCGGCATGGCCTCCTTCGTGGCCATGAAGCTCTGCCCGCGGCTGGTCTGCCTGCCGATGAACTACGACAAGTACAGTGCCAAGGCGAGGGAGATCCGCGCCGTCTTCGCCCGGTACGATCCCCTTTTCGAGAGCGCGAGCATCGACGAGGCCTACCTCAACCTGACCGCCTACTGTGCGGAGAACGGGGTGGGCGCGGAGGAGACGGTCGAGCGCATGCGCGCCGAGGTGCTGGCCGAAACCAAGGTCTCGGTCTCGGCGGGCATCGCGGCGAATGCCAAGCTGGCCAAGATCGCCTCGAATCGGAATAAGCCGAATGGCCAGTTCTGCGTACCGAGCGAGAGAGAGGCGATCATGGCGTTCATGCGGGAGCTGCCGGTGCGGAAGGTGAATGGGGTGGGGCGGGTGTTTGAGCGCGAGCTGGAGGCGATCGGCATCAAGACCTGTGGGGATATCTTCCCGCAGCGGGCGTATCTGACGCGCTTGTTCGGGGAGAAGGCGGCGTACTTTCTCATGCAGTGCTATCTGGGTCTGGGAAGGACGAAGATCCAGCCCGTGGAGAACTATGAGCGGAAGAGTGTGGGCACGGAGCGCACGTTTCATGAGTTGGGCGGTAAGGAGGAGCTTCGCGCGAGGTTATGGTCGGCGGCCGAGGAGCTGGAAAAGGACCTCGCTCGCACGGAGTTCAAAGGTCGTACCCTGGTGTTGAAGGTCAAGCTGGCAACCTTCGAAGTGCTCTCGCGGCAATGTCAGCCCTCGCGCGCGGTATTCACCGCCAAGGATCTCTATGCCTTCTCCCTGCCAATGCTGGAGAAGCTGGAGAAGGAGATCCCTGACATTAAGCTGCGATTGCTTGGTCTGCGCTGCACTAACCTCGTGAGCACCAAGAAAGTCGGCATCGAGTTCTTCGGGGTCGCCCCTCGGCCGAAACCAGCCGTGGAGCCGTCTACCGACGACAATCCCGACCAAGAGATCGGCGCGGAAGAAGCGTTTGAAAGAGCTGCGCGTCAGGAACTACACGACGAGATGAATGAGATTGAGAAGCTCAGCCAGGAAGTCTCCGAATCAGCAGATGTCGACGGCAAGCCTGCCCAGAATACAACCCCAGCGTATTGGGATTGTCCGATATGTTTGAGACCTCAGGTGGCAGATGATCGGGTCTTCAACGACCATGTCGACTACTGTCTCTCCAAGCAGACCATCAAAGAGGCGGTCCAGGGCGCCATTGAGCATGTCCGCGAAGAAACCCCGCCAGCAGCGTCCAAATCACGCAAACGCAAACCCCCCGGACAGGAGTCTCCGGGTCCGCGACAGAAGAAACTGTTCTTTTCTTGACCACTGCGGCGTGGGTATGGTATGCGTCGATGTTGAGCTCCGATGGAGCGTTCTCCGATGTCAACCGTCATTCCTCGGCCGGTCCGTGGAAATTACACCCCCAATCTGTTTACAGTAGTATTTGGCGTCACCACTTCTTTTTTGAGAGTCATACACTATAGACAACCACATATACCCCGTTTGGCTTCCCACACATGAACAACTTCGAATTAGATAAAATATATTTTTGTTGGACGTTTCTCTCAGAACAGTACCAAAGAACGGGGTCACAGCCCAGCCTCAGTTGCTAACGAGTAGCACCTGTGAGTTGACTCGCACACCATCATCATCTACTATACAATCCATCCTCCCACTCAGCAAGGTAATCCCCTCTCACCCAGTCAGTCCGAAACGCCACTCTTCGTCCACCAAAACCCACACTCCTTGCTACTCCAATCATCATCAACCATCTGCGCCGTCACGCCCACACCCCGGCCCCCGGCTCGCTCATCATTGCCCTCTCCGAGCACCATAATCCTCTCGGAGGCATCAAACGGCTCCCAGCGCGGTCTTCGCGCAAACCTCCCTTGCACCGCATTCGGATCCCCCCTCACAATAAACGAAGTGATATACGCATGAAACGTACCCGCCATCTCCTCCTGCGCCGCCGAGAACGCCCTAACCTCGGGATCAAACGTCTCATACGCCATCTGATCCCCATGGTTCGCCCCGCCCAGCACGGTCCTATTCAACGCCCACCGGTACAAAAACACGGGGGCCGTGCGCTGCCGCTGCTGCTGCTGCTGCTGCTGCGCCGCCGACACAAACCGCGCCGTCTGGCGCACGGGACACGCATACGCATAGTGGCCGTACGCGGCCTCGACGCGCTTGAACTGCGGGCCCACGCTGATATTCCTCGTCTCGAGGTAGGGGGAGGCCGCATCGCGCGCCGGATCCGGGTAGAGCGCGTCGATGGCGCGCAGGTCTTGGGCGGTCAACGCGGGGAGGAGGGTGGCGAAGAACGCGGAGAATTCGGCCGAGGTGGCCAGCGCGGTCGGCACGTAGTACGTGCCCTCGTTGGTGTTGAAGCCCGTCAGCAGCGCGATGTTCTTGTTCCAGGTGCCGGCGCGCCAGGCGTCGATGGGCCGGCGCTTGATGAGGTCTCCGTCGATGACGGGTTGGAAAGCCCACCGTACTGATGGGTTGTAGCGGTCGAAAACGATGGAGGAGGCGGTGGTGATGGTCGCGGACGGCGCGGCGCGCAGGCAGGTTAGGATGTCACTGTCTGAGAGGGTGGGGTCGCATCCGGCTGCGGTCACGAACTCGTGGAATTGCGCTTCGTGTAGGGCCACGTTGTACGGGTGGACGGCGCGAGAGGTCGCGGCGCCGGATTCGATGATCGCCCGGTGGAAGTAGGTGTGTTGCAGGTCGGTGTTCAGGATGTGGTGGGCGATCTGGGCGTGTCAGGGTTTCAGGGGGAGGAGTGATAGTAAAAGGGGTGAGTGAGTCTTACTGAGTGTGCGCCGGCTGAAAGCCCGATCAGCGTGACTTGGGACGGGTCGCCGCCGAAGCTGGCGATGTTGTCTTGCACCCATTGGAACAGGAGGAGTTGGTCGTGCAGTCCCAGGTTGAGAATGCCTTCGTTCGCTGTTGTGGTCGAGGGGAGGAAGCCGAGAGCACCGATTCTGCATTGTGTCAGATTTACATGCTTTAGCTCGCCCTTGCTAGCCTAGAGGGCGCATGCACTTGCCTGTAGTTGAAGCTGACCGCGACAAAGGGCTCGTCGGCCCAACCCACCATGGATGCTGTATTGTGCATCGAGGCTGATATACATAGTCAGTTACCACTCATGCAACCAATGAGGCCTGTCTCACCTGTTCCGCGATTATAAGCGCCACCGTGAACGTAGACAGCAACAGGGAGCTTGCCCTGCACCCCCTGGGGACGAAAGACATTGACCGTGAGGCAATCCTCGCTGCTGCCGCTATCACCGGGGATCTGCAACAATTGCTTTCCGGGACAGCTACCGAACCATCAGCCGACGTGTGCGACGCATATGCACTGGAAACGTACCGTGGACCATAGCGACTGGCATCGATGAACTCGTCCGAAGCATTGACAGGAACGGCCCGACGGAACCTGCGATCGCCCACCGGTGGTAGCGCATAGGGGATTCCACGGAACGCGTCGACCGGGTGGTTCAGTGTCTCTGTCAACGTGGTGCCCACCACCGTCCCCTGGGATATGGCGATGCGGGGTCGATTCAGAAGGATAGCATCGTGTAGCGATGAGGGCAGCCACGAGGCAAGGAGCGTCTGAATCTGCTGAGTAGTGCTGCTCGATGGCTGTTGAACAAACAGCAATAGAATGACTGGCAGTGCAGCCAGGAGAAACGGTCTCGCACTCAGCATGGTCGGTCGGTAGTATAACGTATGAAGTGAGAAAAATTCCGGAATCCTGACTGAATGCCGAAACATGGTCCTTTTTATTGGGGAATTGGGGGAATCTCCTCATCGGCGATCACTTTTGCGTGCCGACAGACAGCGCTATCAATCACTTTCCCCGCTCCTCCCCTCAATCTTATCTTCGCCTCCATCTTCCGCTTATCTCGGACACTCTCCGAGATATAGTTACTTCGTCACGAGCGTTTATCGAGGGCTGGCTACTCCTTGCATGCAAGATGGGTGGTTATGGGTCCTCGCTCGTGGAGGACACTGCTTTCGGTAGCTCTGTCCGGGTTGAGCACGCTTATCAGCTATGGGTGCCACTGATTTCCACTGGGCAAGCCTCGAATGATCAGACGGGTTGAAGGTCATGCTTCGAGCCACTATGTTGGAATTACCCAGTGCCTTATCTCAGCACAATAGAGGGGAGGCTGTCGAGGCGGGCTGCCTTGGGAGTATTTAAGGCACCCCTCATTTCTCGAGGAGTCTTCCAGGAAACTATCTATAAGAGCATCACACATACTTCCAAATGGCAGACAATCCACCCCAGCAAAGAGTCAAGCATCAGGAAAAGGAGAACCTCCCTCCAGTAAATGTATCCAAAGCCGACGACGTGGAAGTCGGCCAGGTCTCCTCGCTCGACGAAGCCGAGCTCTTCCTCCACGAGCATGGCGTCTCCCACGACCAACTCCAGGCAATGCTCGACGATCCCGTGCGGACGAGGAAGCTGAGAAGACGTATCGACCTGATCCTGCTCCCGCTCATGTGCGGCACGTACTGTCTTCAATACATCGACAAGCAGGTGCGTCTTTCCCGCCCACACAATAGCTGGAAGCTAAGCCTCCGCAGGCCTTATCATACAGTGCGGTGTTCGACTTGTTCACCGACGCCCATATCGACAGTAATCAGTACAGCTGGCTTGCCAGTATCTTTTACTTTGGTAGTGTGCTCTCGTCCCGTGGTATGCTGGCGGGTCGCTGACGGGGTCAGGGTATCTGTTCTGGGAGTACCCGGCCAGCTACATTGCACAGCGGCTGCCGATTGGCACCGTTGTGTCGAGTTTCGTGTGAGTGCGTCGCTGAGACACGAAGGTGTACAAACTAACCGAGGCGTAGGATAGCCTGGGGTGCGATTCTCATGATCACCGCGGCCTGCCACGATTTCACTGGGATGGCTGTGTGTCGGTTTCTACTGGGGTGCTTTGAATGTATGCTCCTCCTGTGTGCCATAGGCAGACCCAGCTGACTTCGCAGCCCCAATTACTCCGTGTTTCATGATGATCGTGGGCATGTGGTATGTTCGTCAAGAGCAGCCCTTCCGCGCAGGGATCTTCTACTGCTGCAACGGGGTGGGATCGATGGTATGCTGGCCTTTAAGAACACCACATTCGATCTGAGACTCATTGACTGTGTAGGTCGGTGGACTGATCACCTACGGCATCGGCCAGATGGACGGCTTCCCCGTCTGGCGCGCCGTATTCCTCATCTGCGGCGGTGCGACCATCCTCTGGGGAATCCTCATGCTGCTCTTCCTACCGAACAGCATCCTCTCCTCGAAACGCTTCTCCGTGGAAGAGAAGATCATGCTCATTGGTCGCGGGAAGCAGAACCAGACTGTACGTCCGTCCCGTCCCGATGTAGAGGGTTAATCACTAATCGGATGGCTCAGGGTATCCTCAACCGCTCGATCAAGTGGTACCAGATCCGCGAAGCCCTCATCGACCCGCAAGTCTGGCTGTTGTTCCTATTCACTCTGCTGAACGAGACCGTCAACGGGGGTGTAGCCAACGTACGTCCTCTCCCCTCGTTTCAGAAGCCAACGGCATGAGAGACTAACCCCCCGAGGAAACAGTTCGGCAAACTCATCATCCGCGGCCTAGTCTCCAGCTCCCTGCTCACCACCGTCCTGAGCATCCCCCAGGGCGCATTCCAGGTCTTCTTCATTCTCTCGGGCACATACCTCTCCTCGCGCTTCAAGAACATCCGCACGCTCATCATGGCCGTGTACCTCATCCCGACGGTGATCGGCGTCTGTCTCCTCTGGAAGCTCCCGCGGACGAATCGCTACGGCGTGTTGTTCGGATATTACATCGTAAGTGGCCTCCCCCGCCGAACTTCCTAGCAGGTTGCCGAGCACAACACTAACCATAATGCCAGGTGGGATCCTTCGTCACCTCGCTCGTCCTCGCGCTGCAAATGCCCTCCAGCAACATGGGCGGCTACACCAAGCGCGTCACGGCCACCGCATTCGTGTTCCTGGCGTATTGTATCGGGAACATCATCGGCCCGCACGCGTTCCTGGCGGATGAGGCGCCCGTCTACGCGACGGGGTGTAAGTTGATCCTGGCGTGTGCGCTGTGTCAGATGGTGATCGCGGGGCTGTTGCGGGTGCTGTTGGGGCGGAGGAATCGTCAGCGGGAGCTGGATGTCACAATTGCCGAAAGAGGAGAAGGAGAAGAAGAAGAAGAAGAGGTGATGGCCGATCGGACGGATTTCGAGGTATGTCTGCTGCCCTGCCTCTTTGCTTGCCACAGATCCTGTGCTACAGCTCCCAGCTAACCGATGTGTGGGCGTGTAGAACCCTCAATTCCGCTATGTCCTCTAAATATACTATATATACCCCAAGCATCTAAACATACACACAACCACCTACCCCCCCCCCGCCCCCTCCCCCAATTCCCCTCCTCCTCTACAAAAGATAGATAGATTACATAGGCAACCCCGCCATCTCCCCCAAAGCCCAATACTTTCTCATATTCTCCGCCCGCAACGCGTCCACCTCCTCATCCAGATGCTCAAACAACACCGTCCCAAACCCCTCCAGCAACCGCTTCACCTCCCCCCGCTCCAGATCGGTTTCCCCGCGCCGACACCCCTCCAGATACCGCTCCAGCGCATCCATCCCCCGGTGGATCACTTTATGCTGGCCGATCAGGCTCAGCTCGCGCCGGAACTCGGGCATCCGGCGCGCCAGCACGGGGAAGATGTGCCGCTCCTCGATCGTGTGGTGCACCGTGAGGTGGTGGCAGAACTCCAGGCCCAGGGTGATTAGGGCTTTCGGGGGCAGGGTGGACTTTTTGTTAGAGGGGGCGCAGGCGGTTTGGAGGGTTGCGTAGGTGTGGCGGAAGTGGGTGTGCTATGTTTTTTGTTAATCTGGGTTGGGAGGGGGTAAATTGGTTGTGGCGATGGGCGTAATGATGGGGGTACGGTGTTGTGTGGTGTTGTATTGTATGGTGGATGGATACATATAGTTATTGTATACTAGTACTCAGCGGGGAGATAACCCAGTAAAACCCGCGGGATTAGGGTAGGGTAGGTAGGGTAAAGGGAACACCATAAGATGCACAATCCCCCCGCAAAAAAAAAAAATAAGCAGTACAGAAAAGGAAAGGGGGAAACATACAAACTGATCCATATGCTCCGCCAACCGATTATACACCCGGAACTCCTTCGCGGAGAGCGGCGGGAGGGGGGCCTCCTCCTTCGCTTCCGCTCCCGCAGTCGGCTGCTGCTCACTGGGCTTGGAGTCGGGTGTAGGTTGCGCAGCAGTAGGCGGCATGGTGGCTATCTTCCGTTGATAAGGCACACACTCTCTAAAAGACACGCGGGCGGGGAGGGCTATCAGTGTTGGTCTGCGCGGGTGAGCAGCAGCAGCAGGGCGAGTGAGGCGGGAAATACTCGTAAAGGATGGTCGTGCGATGAAGCGCATGGGATTCGAATTGAAAAGATTGTCAGCGATTGTAAGCAGGAGATTAGAATATTGATTATGATTTGGATTATGATTTTGATTAGTATGGGGGCTGATGCGGTTGGATAAGAGAAAAAAACTACGAGTACCAAAGGCTTTCGGCAGTTGGAGGCTTCCGTCAGGGACCGGGACTGTGGGGCGGGGGATTGGGTTGGGTTTACACAGTAGTAACTGAGCTCCCGAGTCTGCATGGGTAGGTGGGCTGGGCGGTCTGCGAAGGTTACTAGGCACCATTGGCTAGTGGAGTGAGGTTGCTGGCAGAATAGGAACCGAAGCATTGGAGGCTACTCTGATATTGACCGCCTTTTCGGTCAAACACGTTGAGCCTATTTAGAACTGGGAATAGAAACGGACTGGAACTGGGAACTCCCAGTCTGCAAAAGATCTCCAATGTCCATGGACAGTTCTGAAAGTAGAGAATAACTATTAAGGTCAATTCTAAGGGCGAACAGTAGGTGTATAATAAATATCACGTGTAATGGCTAGCTATACTGTAACAATACAGCGATATTTGGTTATAACGATCATATATAGCTTCACCAAGTCAATCGTTCTAAATGGGGTTTACAGTAGTACCGCCCGCGCCGCCCGCGCCCGCCCGCAGTCATCCGAACCCTTTTCCTCCTGCGCGACGAACCCCCTCGCCTCCACCCAGCCCCCCGGGGCTGGACCTCCCGCGGCATCCAGGAGGTATCGTATAGTTGAGAGTGGTATAAAACATCGCGCCCTCTCTCGCCGGGTTCTCGATCTGTGATTCGGAAGAAGTGACCATGCTGACGAACGAGGGAGTGGCAAAGAAAGTAAATGGCTACGTTGCTTTGAGAAAAGCCTCCTAGGAACGATGATTGGAGAAAGTTGATTTGGATCTTCTATATAACATTTGCGTGAGTAAATTGCTCATTTTCCCTTGTCGACCTGGGCTCGGGTTCGGACTCGGGTTCGTATTCACAATAGGACAAGACTAAGGATCCGCCTGTTGTAACCCACATATAAATTTAAACCCAAATTTGGGATCCACTCGCCTTTGACAACAATCGTTACAGTAGTCAGCTATTATGAGCTGTGAAAGCAGGTCTGGGATTCTTACCATGGTCGATATCTTTCTTTCTTTCTCAGTTGGAGCTCTGGGCCCACATCAAATCTCCCCGTATAAAAAGCAGACGAACTCCCAACTATCGACGCATCGAATTTCTATCCAATCTAAGCATTCGTTGCAAGAGCCCATCCCTTCAAGACTTCCAAGCACACAGTGATTCTTTCCAGCAAACCCGCCTCCCAAGACCGCTTCCTCGACAAACGCGGGGAATCATCAGCATGTCCGCCAAAAGTATTGCTATCCTTGGGGGCGGAGGCATGGGGTTGGCAGTCGCTCGGCGCCTTGGTGTTGGTCGGCATATATGTGTTGCCGACTACTCAAATGAAATTCTCTTAGAAGTCCAGGAAGCCTTAACCAACGAGGGTTACATGGTCGAAACATTCCAGGTGGGTGTGTCCGACTACGATTCTGTCAGCCGCTTTGCTAAGGCAGCAGCATCTCATGGACCCCTCGAAGCGGTAGTTCATACAGCTGGGCTGTCCCCGTCTGCTGGCTCTGCAAAAAAGATCCTTGACAGCAATCTTCTGGGCACGGCCAATGCTCTCGATGCTTTCTTGGAGGTAGCACAGCCCGGAACAAGCATGGTCTGCATCGCCAGTATGGCCGGTCACATGGGATCGGGATTACCTTCGGAGCTAGAGCATCATCTCGCGACAGCGCCTAGGAACCAATTGTTAAATCACGTGGCCCTGGACATTGATCAAGCCGATCCGCAAGGTCCTGCACGGGCCTATGGTCTGTCAAAACGTGGAAATTTACTACGCGTTCAGGCTTCATCCAAAGCATGGGGTCGCATTGGAGGGAGAGTGAATTCGGTCAGCCCCGGAGTCATATCTACAGGCGCTGGGCGCCAGGAGATCAAGGGCCCAGCTGGGAAGTTCATCGCTCTGAGTCCGGCTGGACGTGTTGGAACGCCGCAGGATATTGTGAATGCCGTCTCATTCCTGGTCAGTGCAGAGTCCTCGTTTATTACAGGCAATGACATCCTCGTGGATGGTGGGGTCGTCTCATCATTGCGATGGGACGCCCTGAAAGCCTGAGAGTGAGCCGGTATTGTGATGATCAATCTTGGGAGTGACCGTTGACGGCCGGAAGAAAGGCTTTGCGAGTGACCCGGAATTTCAAGGTGACACTCGGTCGTGTCAGACATCAAAACAAGTGTCAAGGGAAGGCTCGGGACTATATTGCGATATCGCTCTTAGTCATTCCTACGCGTGCAGGCATAGAGGGCCCAAACATGAGCTCCTCTAAAAAGACGAACAATCATGTCTGTATGCGGAGCATTTAAGATAGCGAGCCAGATGAGCCATTACAATTCCCTGTAACATCCCAGAAAGTAATCAATCACATTACCTTTGCTGGGAATGTGTCGAGTGCACTAGCTAGTTAATGACCATGGTGATCTAAATCCGGCCACATCCATTGTTGTAAAAAAGCGTCGTCGGAAATCATGTCATTCGGTTCCATCGCGTCTACCATAGGTTATGTGGTTTCCAGATCGCTCCGAAATAAACGTAACAGTGTGACTACAAGGTAGGAAATCGAGTTGCAGATATCAATTCATTAAAACTACCTATGTTTACAGTATGTTCCAGGTCCTCAATGGATGTTTGCCATCGCAACAGTTAAGTTGCAAGACACACATCTAGTACGTCGCTGGGCGAGAATTTCTCATTTCAATATCAGCACTTCTTCGGCACAACCACAGTCATGGACAGGCTGGATTGCAATTTGACATCCGTGCTAGTGAACCTAAAAGAAGAGAGAATAATGTGTCAGGTCAATGTATTAAAGTATGGCGGTCATGGCGGCGAAATAGAGTATAGAACATGAGCCAGCCGCGGTCACTAGTAAGTATCAAGACATGTCGTAACTCCGTAGAAGATATTGGAACAAGCTACAGTTCCTGGTGGGCGAGCTCGTGAATATTCTCGGGCGGCCGGAAGTTGCCCTTCCTCAGCTCTTGCCATGCGAGATCGAACCGCGCACCCAACATCCAAGCCGTGCCAATCTACAACAGTCAGTAAACAATCGTGTGAGAGACCGAGAGAGACATACCATAACAACCGAGACAATGACCACGATCACCAGCATGAGGCCCATCATAAAGCACACATCCTGGCGCGTGTCGGCCTCTTCCTCTCTCTTCTTACGCTCAGCCTCAGTCATCTCGCCAGTGACGCGACGCTTGGCCACCTCAGCGGACTGGGTGGGGAAGATTGTCTCAATCCACTTTTCAATCTACAAAGTATTAGTGAAAGCTCACTCGAACGAAGGGGAGTCAACATACCCGTCCGCAAACGAGACTGATCTTCAAGAAGTTGGGATCCTTAGGAGTGTTCTTCTTGTGGATCCGACGGGCGTACACACGGAAGGTGTCACTGAGCACCCGCAGGTTCTGGGTCGATTCAAACATGAGCTTGCACGCCTCACCCTTGGTGATCTTGATGTTTCTTTCGAAGATCGCCGGGTTGCGGAAGCACAGCTCCAGGGTAGCGATGGCCATGGACTGCGGGATGGCACAGAAGTTGAAGATACTCTGCTCCCGGAGACCAGCCAGATAGAACAGGCAGTCCTCCACATGTTCCAATGCGTTCAAGACCATCTCGGAGCCGCAATTAAGCGCTGCCTCGCGATGCTGTGGGTCAAACAGATCGTCAAAGTTGGTCACGTGCTTCGACCAAATTTCTTTGGGCCAGAAGCGACGTTTGTCGTCATTGTCCTCTCGAACGTCACGGATGATGTTGGTCTTCTGCAGGAAGAGACCCATCGATTTGTGCAGACGAGTGCGCTCCAAGAGAGCCGGGTTGGCGAACTCAGCCTCGACAAACAGACGCGTCAAGCCTTCGCCCACCAGGCCAGCCACGTACCAGCAGTATTCATCATACTCGGCCGTGGTCTTGACGCTGGCGTCCTCGAATTCGGCCTTCCGGCAGTAGTCGGCCATACCGTTACCCATCTTATCGGTGATGTCCTTCACGATCGCCTGATATGCCGGCTTCATGTTCTTGAATTGCGTGATGACGTTGTGAAACTGAACCAGCAGCTCACGGTCCTTCTCCTCGGGGCGGTTGCCAGTGAAGGTCCAGCCATCCTGCTCGAGGAAATCCTTGAAGCCGCGGAGGAGAGGCTCCTTGGTCTCCAGGGGGATCGAGGTGTCATCTTCGATGGTGTCCAAGCCGCGCAGGACCAAGTAGAAAATGCAGACAGGCAGCAGCAACTCAGGATGTAACTCCTTGATGACGGCGCTGAAGCTGCGACTGGTCAAGTCGAGGAATTTGAAGCAGGCCTTTTGGGTTTCGGTCTCGTCCTTCTCATTGCGTTCGTGAACGGGTGAGTGCCAGACCTTCCTATTACCACGGGCATAGACCCCTTCGTAAGCGTTGGCACAAACACACGACCCATCATTACCGCTCAAGGACGTGAGCCAGTACTAACCATTGCACTATCGACCTCAGTTCTGAGGGGTGAAAGGTGTAGTAGAAGATGTTCGAAGCGAGGCCCATTGTGAAAACTGAAAAAACGACGGGGTATCACGACCGGCGAAAAGCCAAATTGACAACGTGAGGTGAGGATTATTAGGGAGTCAATGACAGAAGCAAGATAAACAGTAGTGAATCAAGTGACCGAATCAACGGGAACCCAGAAGATTGAAATGACAATGATGGTACAACAATGTACAGACAGCTATGAGCAAATGGCCTCAATAGCGGCAAAGCGGACGCGGAGAGAATGAGATGGAAGTGGAGGGGAAACACGGGAGAAGAGAGGGAAAGTATGGAGGGGAGGATGGAGAGAGGGAGGGAAATTAGGTTGGGCGTTAAAGAAAAAAGGGGTGGGGGTGGGAGGAGGGAGGGAGAGAGTGTGAGGGAAGAAAGAGAAGAAGAGAAGAAGAGAAGAGAAGAAGAAGAGAAAAAAACAGTGGTGGAAGAAAAGGTGGTGGATGGAGAGGAAGAAGCGAAGAGGAGAAAACCAAACGAGGCAATTCATTTTTCCCGCGCCGAGAAAAGAGACAAATGAAGCGGTGCAAAGTTGCAAACAACGCCTCTGACTGGCTCCGATCAGCCCCCGGGGGGCTGTGACCCGGTATTTACCGCATCCTTCGCCCGAGACTTGGCAGAGAGCGGGTCTTGTTGCCCCGTTGTGACCATACGTGACGGTACTTCTACCGCAACGGAGACCAAAAAAACATCGATCGCTCCCCCGCCATGACGAAAGGGTCGTCGCAAGGCATCCATCTGCCTTTCTCATGAAAAACTAGTCCCAAACTACTGACTCTACAACTGGTTGAGCTTCTACCTTCACAGATCATCTCTTGTGTGGTAGTTGACAACTTACCCTGCAGCAGCCTCTTCAAGACTCACGGCTGCATCTCTCACCTCTCCGCTGGCTGTCCTTGCTGCAGCCCAAAACCGATAGACAAATCATCATCCCTCGCGTGGTCGGGTAAAAGCTTTGCTCCATCCCACCATGGTTGTCGACACTACATACTACGACGCCCTCGGCGTTCCTCCCACTGCGACCGAGCTGGAGATCAAGAAGGCCTACCGGAAGTTGGCTATCGTGACCCATCCTGGTTCGTCCGCGTGGCCCTGTGTTGTCAGCCCTCGAGCAAACTGACCCCTTGGCAGATAAGAACCCCGGCGATGAAACTGCACATGCGCGCTTCCAGGCGGTGAGAACGACCCTCGAGAGATCATCACGCTGATACTAACCTCGCCCGGGCTTGACCAGATTGGTGAGGCCTACCAAGTTCTCAGCGATGAAGAGTTACGCAAACGCTACGACAAGTTTGGCAAGGAGGATGCCGTCCCCGGCGGCGGTTTCGGTAAGTCGACGACGGCACAAGATACGCGGACAGCACTGACTCTGGCCTTCCAGAGGATCCGGCGGAATTTTTCAGCATGATTTTCGGCGGCAGTGCGTTTGTCGATCTCATCGGTGAGATCTCGCTCATGAAGGACTTGACCGCGACGATGGATATCACCATGCAACAGATGGAGGAGGAAGAACTGGCCGCCTCCGCCGAGGAGAAGCTCAACATCCACGATGAGGAACAAGCCGCCCGCGCCTCTGCCGAGGGTACGACGCCAACCGCGACTGAGTCCCCGGCCGCCGCACCCGAGAAGCCCGCCGCTGAAAAGCCCGCCGCGCCCACCTCTTCCAGCTCCGGTGCTAGCACGCCTCGCCGCTTCATGGGCCAGCAGGCCATCATGGACAAGTCCGAGGAGGAAGCGCGCATGGAGGCAGCCGGTCTGTCTCAGGAAGAGAAGGAGCTGCGCAAGAAGGAGAAGAAGAAGGGACTGTCGAAGGAACAACAGGAGCGGCTGGCAGCCTACGAGCTGGAACGGAAAAAGGCCCGCGAGGAGCGCGTCAACACCCTGGCCACCAAGCTGATTGACAAGATCAGTGTGTGGACGGAGACCGACAAGGGCGCGGACGTCACCCGCGCCTTCGAGGAGAAGATCCGCCTGGAGGTGGAGAACCTGAAGATGGAATCGTTCGGTTTGGAGATCCTGCATGCGATCGGTGCCACTTACGTGCAGAAGGCTACGTCCTTCCTCAAGTCGCAGAAGTTCCTGGGTATCTCCGGCTTCTTCTCGCGCTTGAAGGACAAGGGCACTCTCGCCAAGGAGACCTGGACGACTATCTCGACCGCCATCGATGCGCAGATGACGATGGAGGAGATGGCCAAGTTGGAGGAGCGCGGTGGAGAGGATTGGACGGACGAGAAGAAGGCCGAGTACGAGAAGAAGGTGACTGGTAAGATCCTGGCGGCCGCCTGGCGTGGCAGCAAGTTCGAGATCCAGAGCGTGTTGCGGGATGTCTGCGACCAGGTCCTCGGCGACAAGCGCGTGAAGCTGGACAAGCGTGTTGAGCGCGCCCACGCTTTAGTGATTGCGGGCAACATTTACTCCAAGGTGGGTGGTTCTCTACCTTGCGCAGCTGTCATGGAAGCTAATTTAAACTACAGGCCGAACGTGACCCCGAGGAGGAGGGTGATTTTATGGCATTCGAGCAGTTGATGGCCGAGTCAATGACGAAGAAGGGCAAGGATGAGAAGAAGAAGAAGGGCAAGCACGGGCATTTCCACCACCATCATGAGGAGGAGGCCGAGGCCACGGCTGCTTAGTTCTACTTGTGCATGTGTATTGATTTTGTCCCAGTATAAGGCTGTCTGGTTCCGACTGGATCCTTGGTTGGTTGGATATGGGATGTTTCTCTGTAGCGACTGGTATTTTGATTTTTCCACGCGCACCGACGATGTGACCCACCCATACTTAGATGGATTTTAATAGATTGCTTTTGCTTGAGGAGGTGATGTGATGTGGTGCTTAGAGTAGGGGTGACTCAGAGCGGTGCTGATTTTGATGTGCCCTGGTAAGATAATAAAAAAAGTGAGACTTGCCTTCCCAACCTCGTTGCGTTGTTGTGCCTGCAGATTTCCCAGCCTCCCGACATCGGGGCTTCTGCCTGATAAGCTTTGCGCCTTCTTGCTCCCGTTCGCAGGCTGAGTCCACCGTCCATCCATCTGCAACTAGTGCCAAGTCTAAATAATTTATCTCCTATCAAGGTCCCCCGCACGCGACCAGCTACCGTGTTTGGATTACTCCTCCCCACTGTTGGTCGTCTAGCTGGAATGTAACCAGTTTCTGCTGCCCTTGATACGGCGGAGTTCCGCGTCTTTGGTCCGACATTGACTCCATTGATCGTCACAATCCTTCTTGCGTCGCCCGCCCGCCCCGTTATGGACCGCGGTATATAACCCTAACTTCCCCCGCTTGCTGCAAGATGACTCCGAGACCTCCCCGGCTGTGTCATCGTACGACCCGCGCCTCCCTCTTCATAACCCTCGGCCTGCTCCTCCTGGCTCTGAACCTCATCCCTTCCTCGATGCTGCTCTCCTCCACCCAGGTGATCCTGGCCACCCTGGGCGCCAGCGCGGCTGCTCTGCCCAGCACATCATCCGCCGCAGCCTCCGCACCGACGGGCTCCGCCCTACCCGCTGGCTTCGACATCACCGCATACTGGGGCAACCTGAGCCCCTACAAAGATGGCCCCGGCTTCAACGTCTCGACCGGCGTCCCGCTGGGCTGCGAACTCTCGCAGGTGCACGTCCTGCACCGCCACGCCCAGCGGTACCCGACGCCGTATGCTCTCGACGGCCTCAGCATGGAGGCCTTCGCGCAGAAGCTCCAGAACTACAGCCTGCAGCACCCCAACGAGACGCTGGGTACCGGCCCGCTGGCGTTTCTGAATGACTGGAAATACCTCATGGGCGAGGACCTCCTGCTGCCCTCCGGCGCGGCCACCGAGGCGACCTCCGGGGCCAACTTCTGGAACAAATACGGCCGGCCGCTGTTCCGCGCCCCCGCTGGTCTCGCGGACTGGGATCCGTCGTTGAACGTGTATCCGAACGGGACGCAGCGGCCCAAGCCTATCTTCCGGACGACGGGACAGGCGCGGATTCTCGAGAGTGCGCGTTGGTGGTTAAGTACGTATTTCCCTTTTACGTAGAACACATCCACCATTCCCCCATGCTTTCCAAGATACTAACAGCCCCGACTCGAAAAGGTGGCTTCTTCAGCAGCACGAACGCCAACAACTCCGCTAGCCAATACGACCTAGTGATCATCCCCGAGACAAGCGGCTACAACAACACCCTAGCAGCGACGTGCCCAGAAGCGCAGTACGAGGGGTGAGTTAGAGCCATCTCCCAATAACCCTCTCCCCCTCAAACCCCCAAAACTAACCCCCCGTCCAAAAAAAAGCGACACCTCCGCCGAAACCTTCCTCAACATCACGACCCCGGCAATCCTCCACCGCCTAACCCCATACCTCCCCCCCCAACTCGCCTCGACCCTCACCCCCCTCGACATCCTCAGCATGCTGAACCTGTGCCCCTACGAAACCGCCGTCCTCGGCAGCTCCGCCTTCTGCCCCCTCTTCACGGCATCCGACTGGGACACCTTCGCCTACGCCCTCGACCTCCAATTCTACGGCGACTACGGCTTCGGCTCCGCCTCGGGCCGCGCGCAGGGCCTCGGCTGGGTGCTCGAGCTGGCCGCCCGCCTCAACAACACCCTCATCACCACGCAAGCGGCCAACATCAACCTCACCTACGACTCCTCCCCCGCCACCTTCCCGCTGCATCAGAAACTGTACATGGACATGTCGCACGACGACGTGATCGTCTCCGTGCTGACCGCGTTGGGCGTCGAGTATTTCAATTACGGGGCCGGTGGGTTACCCGGGAATGTGAGTGTGCCGCCACCCCGGACCTTCAGTTTGAATGAGGTGGCGCCGTTTGGGGCGCATCTTGTGGCGGAGGTGTGGTCTTGTCCGGCGGGCCGCGAGAGGGTGTTGGGTGGGGAGACCTTGTATGTTAACCCGGAGGTTAAGGGGGTGGTAAAGGCGGAGGATTGGATTAGGTTCGTGTTGAATGGGAAGGCTGTGCCGCTGGAGGGCGTGAGCGGGTGTGAGGGTGGTGGTGGGGATGGGTTTTGTTTGGTGGAGGGGTTGTTGGGTGGTGTTGGGGAGATGGTAAGGTTGGCGGAGTATGATAGGGCTTGTTTGGGGAATGGGACCGCTGGTAAGGGGCAGGTGGGCGATGGACGGCCCCAGTAGTTGGGTTGGTATACTGGTGGGGAAGTAGATGAGATGGACGGTGGTGTTTGTGGTGGTTGAGTAGGGTGGAAGGTGTGGTGAGGACGATGAGTCCATGGTTTTAGAGATGAGACGCGGTGG